ACATGGTGTGCCATTTCTGATTGCTCGCTCTGTAAATGAAATGAGTTTACAAAGAGATTAGAGTTATTTGTCTTTTGACATAGTAATCCCACATCCTTCTTATTCTTAATTTTGGTGGATATTGGAGGAAACAGCTACCTTCCCAGGGATTAGATTCTGAGGCCTAATGTTATTCTTTGTAGCAAGTACTTAAAAGCCAACAGACCAAATGTATGAGGTGTTATTCTTAGTGGATGTTGCTCATGCATAGTGACATACAGGGTCAACAGTGTGAAAAATAATCCCTTTGCTGCCAAACTTCACACAGCTCAAACACATAGGAATGGAGAGAGAAACAACATTCATTTGTTCTGGACTGTCTTGCAAATTTTCTTCAGTTTTCAGATCCCAAGTTGCTAGTGTGTTTAAAAATGATTTTTTCAGAAATATTCTAGATAGGAAGAAAGACAGGAGAAATTCTATGTATCATTTATTCTAAGTGACAATCACTCAGTTAAATCCCTGGAACTCAGCTGGGAACATCTTAAGAGAGGAATGTGAATGTTAATACAAACTAACCATTTGTCAGAGGTGATAGTACTGTACTCTTTTTCCAGACCATTGGTGGGTTGGTCTGATTGGATTGATTTTTCTCTGTGGTGTGACTACCAATAGCAATTGAGTAGACCTCAGATGCCTCAGTCAAGACTGGTGATTTCATTGTGCAAGTTCTGTGCTAACACATAAACCAATGTATGCCCTGCTGTAATAACCTTACAAGCCAGACAGTCACAATGCAGCAGCTGCTAGCAGCAAGCATTAGAGGGCCTCCTTTTGTCCCTAGGTTGGTTTCCTACTATGAAATTAATATGCAAAAGATGTTCATAACATCACCAGGTAGCTATAAGAGATCCTGGAGCTAAATATAGAAATCTCTCTCCCAACCTGTTATTTGTATGGTCTAAGCAAGGTGCTGAGAGGAAGCTAAGCTGGAGCCTATTTCCTGGCCCCGCTACCTGGGGGGTTCAGAGGATCTCAGATGAGCCATTTTCCATCTTTCTAGCTCCACAACAAGGCAGCACCTCTGCCAGTGGGAAAATTTTCATCTTCTCTTGCTGCTGAGTGGGTGAACAGAAAAATTTCTGCTCTCAGGGTTGGAGTTGTGATGGTCTCACCACCCCCAGACACAGCTTTTTTGCACATAGAAACCTTCCAACCACAGAGAAAAACAAAACAAATATTACAATATTGTGCAGCTACGTGTTTTAGACTGCCATACAATGCTTATACAGAGGACAGCAAATACAAAGAACCAGGATAGGTATAACACTGTCATCTTCTCCTTTACACATAACAGTGCTGTGTGGGCACAGAGAAACTCTCCAGAGGAGAAGTCAAAATAAGAGAGTTCTTCTTCCATCATAGATTCATAAATTGTCAGGCCAGAAAGGATCTTGGAAGATCATTGGGTCCAGCCCCCTGCACCAAGCAGGAAAGATAACTGGGGGTCAGGTGACCCCAGCAAGGTGACTGTCCAGTCTCTTCTTGAAGATTTCCAGTGTAGGTGATTGCACCACCTCTGGAGGAAGCTTATTCCACAGTCTGGACACCCTGAGTGTGAAGAAGTTGTTCCTAATGTTAAGCCTGAATCGATCTTCTAGGAGTTTGCGGCCATTACTCCTAGTTTTCCCCTCAGGTGCCCTGGTGAACAGTTGCTCACCAAGCCCTTGATGTACTCCTCTAGCGTAGTGGTAAGCCGCTACCAGGTCCCCTCTAACACTTCTTTTCTTCAGGCTGAAGAGTCTCAAGTCCCTCAGCCTTTCCTCATATGGCTTGCTGTGTAAGACTCTGATCATATGAGTGGCTCTTCTCTGGACTCTCTTAAGCTTGTCCATGTCCTTGTTAAAGTGTGGTGCCCAGAACTGGAGGCAGTACTCCAGCTGCGGTCTCACCAGTGCTGAGTAGAGCGGAAGAATCACCTCCTTGACTGTGCTGGAGCTGCATCGATTGATGCATGTTAGAGTATTATTTACCCTACTGCTTACAGCATCATACTGCCAGCTCATATTCATACTGTGATCTATTATTCACCCCAGGTCCCTTTCATTCGTGGTGCTAGGCAGTTTGGGGCCACCAAGCCTGTAGGTGCATTGGGGGTTGTTTGTCCCAAAGTGGAGCACTTTACAATTCTCAATGTTGAACTTCATTTGGTTCTGATCCACCCAATTTGCCAGCCTGTCTAGGTCTGCCTGTACCTGTAGCTTCTCTTCAAGCATGACCATGCTTCCCCATAACTTGATGTCATTTGCAAACTTGGCCAGTGAGCTTTGCACCCCCACATCCAAATCATTAATAAAAATGTTGAAAAGTATTGAACCAAACACCAACCCCTGTGGGACACCACTGCACACACCAGCTGCAGGTGCTTCCTCAGCCTGATGAAGGGTTTTTCAACCTGAAACCTTGCTAAGATATATTTCTGTAACTATTCAGTTTGTCTGCTAAAAGATACCACATTGACCCAAAGAACCTTGTCTGCCAGTGCCATGTCCTTAGACCAACCCCCCTAGCACCTGACTGGAAGGACGCAGGGCCCTGGGCACATCTAAGCCCCAGGGCTGGGGCTGGCAGAGGGAGAGTTCTCTGGCAGCTGCTGGAGAAGAAGCTCCTGCAGGAGAGGAAAGAAAGGCTGTCACAGTTTGGCTGCCTGAGATGCTGCTGGTGCTATTGTGCTGCTGCTCACTAAGTTATTTTGTTGTCATTTAAAGTGGTGGACCGGGATGAGACTGTAGGGGAGGAGAAGGCTCATTGGGGCACACTACTGTGTCATGTAGAGGGCCCAGCATCAGTGAGGGTGCACCTTAACACACACACAGTCACACATGTCACAAGTTTTGCTTGTCAGCACCTTGAGGTGCAGTTTCCCAGAAACCCCTGCACCCATCTCCTTGAAACTTGGCAGGTTGTGTGGCCTCATCAGGGGCTACCAGGACCTCTGTTTATACCCCCTGTGCCTTCACACTTACAAGTGACATGAGTTTTGCTTTCAAGATTTTGAGGTGCAGTTTCCCAGAAACCCCTGCACCTATCTCCTTGAAGCTTGGCAGACTTCATGCCCACAGAAGGTGCTACCATTCCTGCTGCTTTCATCTAAATGTGCCAAAGAATGTCAAAGTTATAGGCAGGTTCATGCTTCCCCATTATAGCCCATGGGCAAAACGTCAAAAAATCATCAAAATAGCAAAATAGTGTCGACAAAATGAAACAGAACAGTGCTTTCAACATAACATGAAACTTAAAATGAAACACTGTCCTGTCAAAACAGCAAAATGGAAGTCAAAACAAAATGGTGCTGTTTTGCACAGCCCTAGTGACCACTGCTGTAGAGGCTTGCCTACTGCTCTACAACAGATGTTGTTGTTCAGTTCTTCTCATTCATGTATGCCCATGTTTGTTGAATCTACAAAAGGGACGGAAGGCCAAAGTTTCATAGTTTCATAGTTTCATAGATTAAGGGTCGGAAGGGACCTAGTAGATCTTCTAGCCTGACCCCCCGCCAGGGCGGGAGAACAACAAAACCCCAAAAACAAGAAACGGGACTCAAATGAGTCCAGCCAGGTAGGCATCCAGCCTCTTCTTAAAGACCCCCAGGGTAGGGGCCAGCACCACTTCCCTTGGAAGTTGGTTCCAGCTCCTAGCCGCCCTAACTGTGAAGTAGTTTTTGCGGATGTCCAATCTATACCTCCTCTCCATCAACTTGTGCCCATTACTCCTTGTTATGCCAGCGGGCGCTAGGGGAAACAGCGTCTCCCCCAAACCCTTCTGGTCCCCCCTAGTGAGTCTATAGACGGTCACCAGGTCCCCCCTCAGCCTTCTCTTGTGGAGGCTGAATAGGTTCAGGTCCCACAGTCTCTCACTGTAGGGTCTGCCCTGTTGTCCCCGGATCATGCGGGTGGCCCTCCTCTGGACCCTCTCCATGCTGTCCACATCCCTCTTGAAATGGGGCGCACAGAACTGGACACAATACTCCAGCTAGTGGATCCTGCCAAGTCCAAAACAATGAAACAACCTTGCTGCCTTGACAGAATTTTGTTGGGGAGGTGAGGCACTGTTTTGTTTCCTTCTGATTTCCTTGCTTCAAAGGGAAGGACTTTATAGATGCCAAAGGTAGAAGTTAGCAGGTCTCTCCCTTCAATGAGAAAATTGTTGAATCAGAAGGATTTACCTCCCCTCAGATCTTAGCCATTGGCTATACTTTGCTCAATCAAAAGGGATCCCTGTGATTTGGAGGGCATGAAGAACTAAGATGCATATCTATGGGAACTTGTCAACAAAATGGTTTTCTTGTTCATCCAAGAGGTTTCATCAAAACACAATGTTTTGGGGGGCAGAGAGTTAGTTTGGGCAAGTTTTTCACGAAACAAATTGCGTGCAAAAGTTCAATATTACTCAATTGCATCATGCTGAAATTTCCGAAAGAACAATTCCTGCTTTCTGGCTGCAAACAAGTTTTCATTTAGAAAATTAGGCTAGATGCAAGAATAAGATAAAAGAACAAAAATGAAAAAGAAGTGTGTCAAAATGATACAAAGGAAACCTTTGGATTGACCCAGACCAATTGGTTTTCTGTTGATTTGCAAATATTTCTTGAGATTTGGGAGGGGGGGCAGGTTCCTAAATCAGGAAGGAAAAATGCTTCAACAAGTGCAAAAAGTTTTGCTCAAGCCAAACCCTGCTGCCCTCAGCTCAGTGTGCCTCATTTCTCAGCTCTTCCCCAAAGCAGTGGGATCAGGGAGCCTTTGTGGTTCTGGTGCAGGGGACAGAGGCTGCCTCTGTCAAATGTCCCCAGCCCCACAAGTCTGGTTCAAGAAATGTTTGTTACCATTTTACCCCCTATCCCTGTGTAGCTCAGCCCTCCCATCATATTGTCTCCTCCTAATAGCTGCCCTCAAGCCATCTCTTCCGCTGGATTCCACTCCACTTCTTACACTTTGCTCAGTCCCTCGGGAGCCTGGGACGGGGACAATGTCAGGCATTAACCAGCAGGCTCTCTGCAAGCAGAAAGCTTTGGATCTGCTCTTTGATTCTGAACTCTGCAAAGGAAGCATGGATAGGATGCTGGAGTCAAGATACTTTGCCCCATGTAGTTCCTGTGCGTGGTGGTGTGGGGGGAACAGAGGGAGAGAGGGAAATGATAAAAGAAGCATCATTTCTCCACATTGTTTGTAACTCTGCTAGTATTTACAATTGTCAAACCCTCCCCTCTGTTCTTTCTGGAGCTGTAACACACCTCGGCAATGACTAGGAGAAGAAACTATTGGCTATTGTATATGCAGTCATCTGGCATGCTGCAGATATAGCAGGGAAAGCAGGGACCACTCACTAACAGAGCAAAGCCGCTTTCAGTGTGGAGCTTGGGGATGCTTGGAAGGAGAGAAAGGAGTGAAAAGACTGGCACTGGGTCACCTGAATCTGACAAGCCCAGGAGAGCAGGTGGGGATACAGAGATTTGACAGATGAAAGGATTATGTGGGATGTCAAGAGAGCAAGTCATCGGGGAGAAGAGGTGGAAAGAAACGCAAAAAGGACACATTAAATGAGACCCCTTTCTAAAGTCAGAAACAGTGTGCTGGGCATTTGAGTCAGACCCTGCACACAGGACAAAGGGGCTTCTTTTTTTAAAAAATGGCAGCTGCTTCCTCTGCCTCACACACCTGGAGGTAAAGCCCGGGTCTTAAATTGGCAAAGGATGAAGAGAGAGTGCATCCGCTGAGTTGGCAGTAGATAGAAGAATTTTGAAAAAGCAAACCTGAGAGTTCCCCTTTCCCTGCCTGCAACCTCAGAACTGAGCTGTCCAAGGGAGGAGAGGACAAAGGGAAAATCACATCGGATTCAGCTTCCCCCAGGCAACAAGAGAAACAGGTCTTAACGGAGGGTTTGTTCATCAGAACTTTACCTCCGCTTCCAAGCCATGGGCAGACACTTCTGGTTCCCCTTGCAGTACATCTCCAAGCCCTTCTGGAGGTCAGAGGATCACAATGGCACTAACTTCTTCTCTGCCTTCTATGGCTTTCCCAACCAGTCTTCATTTTTCCACGGTGATTTGGATCTGGATGACATAGGGGATTTTGACAGCAGCACCAGGTATGAAGGGGAGTCCCAGAGCCGGACAGTCAAGGCACTGCTCATTGTGGCCTATTCGGTGATCATCTGCATCTCACTCTTTGGAAATATCCTGGTCTGCCACGTGGTGATCAAGAACAAGAGGATGCACTCGGCCACCAGCCTCTTCATCGTCAACCTGGCTGTTGCGGACATCATGATCACCATATTGAATACACCCTTTACCCTGGTAAGCAGTGCCACACCCCCACCACAGTAAGGATGGGCAACACCCTCTCTGGCATGCCCTTATTCATATTCACACACACACACACACACACACACACACACACACACTAACTATGCACCTTGCTCTCCACTGCTTGCACCTCCCACCTCTCTTTGCTGAAGGCTGCCACTGGCTTTGAAGTACATGTGCACTTTTGTGCAAAAGTGAAAAGCCAAAAAGTGCTATACAGTGGATTCCACTTTATAGAACTGCTAGTTACTAGAATCCGCTGCTTATTTGAATTAATATGGGAAAACCAACACCATTTGTATATTATTACATGGAAAAAATCGCCCAAATTAGAATCACAATTTTGGGGTTTTGGAATCATTTTACTGGAGAAGCTTGGGGATTTTGCAGTTTTGTGAGAAACTTTTTGCAGGCTGACAGAGATCTGGCTGGCAGGGGGTTGGGAGGGAGCAGGAGGAGGGGGGTTAACCAGGGGCACCATGTGTGTGTACTATACATGCACATTGCCACAGGCAGCCTGGAGAGCAGCTCCCACGGGTAAGTGGGGGGTGGGGGGAAATTGACCCCTGTAGGAAGGGAGGGAGGGAGTTGGGCAGGGCTGGGGCCCCAGTGGGAGTGGCATGGGACTGCAGGAGCTGTAGCTTTGAGGGGCACAACCCCCCTCTGCTGCCCTGACTCCCCATGCCTGCCCCCATCCCCAGCTCACGCACATATCAGGGGGTACAGCCCCCCCCACCCCTCCAGGAGTGCGTGTCATGTTGGGGAGCTAGCCTCACCCCCCACACCCAAGCCTGCAGCAGGCAGCAGAAGGTGGGGAGCTGGGCCCCACTCCGCTGCAGCAGCTACCGCCTTCTCCTGAGGGCAGGGGGCTGTGGACCTGGGCCCCTGGCCCTGTAGCCCTGGCAGCTAGGGCTCCCTCTGGCAGAGCTGAGGGGTCAGGGGGCTGTGGGTGGGGGGCAAGGGACACCAGCAGGGCTGGGGGGGAGGCTGTAGGGGGGAGTGAGAGGCATGAGCAGGGCCAGGTCTCCTTTTAATGGAATCAGCCAGTTACCAGAATCAAATCACCATTTCCCAAAGTGATTCCAAGAGGAGGAATCCACTGTACAGAGGTGGTCAGAGCCAGAGATCGTGGAGGAGGGGAAACCACGAAGCCCCAAGCCCTCGTGGAAAAATAATCTGGAAATGTGTCAGGACTAGGACTCCTGCCAGTTACAAAATGCAGGTGTGACAGTTTGCATGTGTGGGGGTGAGACTGTACATATGCATTTCTGAGAGAAGGCTCTGTGTGCACAAGTTTTTGAAGGCAATGTAAGCAATACCTGCACTGCATCTTAGCTTTCTCTATCCCCTTCTCTATTGACAAAGAAACAAAATACAAGTATTTCTGCTTCCCCAGCTCAAGGAAGGAACACACTAATCTACCTTCTCCCTGTGCATACATACTAAGTTTGTCTTGTACCCACTGCTTCACAACCAATCTATCTTCCCTCTCTCTCTCTCTCTCTCTCTCTCTCTGTTTTTCACCTGTACACTCATACATACAATAACCAGGGAGCACAGGGCTTGGCAGCATCTAAAATATCCCCTAAAGAGTGGCTATAGCTGTGGATGATAAACCTCTCTTTCTCCCAGGACCCAAGAGGAGACAGTGGTCTCTTAGTCTGATGTATGACTTAAGACTGAAGGAAATGAAGACACTCTGTCCTGAGAAGTGGACTGACACTAGTTTCCTATGGAAACTAGACATGCTGTCTTTCTTCCTTAAGATCCCTAAGCAGGTTTGTTTCAGGGGGACTTGCTGCCTTTGTGCTGTGGGGAGTGGGTGGAATATCAAACAGCAGACTCCCCAGGGCTTCATTTGCTGTATTTGTTGTGTTTATATGTATTTGCCAGGGGATTAGATTGCCACTGTTTTCATACACTACATAAACCCAGATGCAAAAAGAGAAGTAATACAATTACAGGGAATAGTTACTCAGTGCCATCTACTGCAATCTCTTCCAATGCATAATCAAACCCCTCTCTACCTTTAGCATCTGATGGAGTAAGCTGTAGCCTATGAAAGCTAATGCTCCACTGAATGAGTTAGTCTACAAGGTGCTACTCTGTCCTGCCTTCTGGCTCCCTGCCATTGGAAGCCAATTTTAAATATCCCAAATAGTAAAACTGCCACCGATGCCCTTGTGAGACTTTCTCAGCCTAGTAATCTCACCTTCAAAATGGCTTTCTCAATATTAAGTCAGCAGTCACCTTTTCTTCTGTTCATCCTTTTAATTTTTAGGTATGTAAATTCCTTATGGAAAGTTTGGTGCCCTTTTCATGTCCATAGCAGTACTTTCCTCAAAGGTTATTTTGGTTTTCAAACCCAATTGTATGAGATTGATTTTCCTGTTGAACTATTTCTTTCCTCTCCTTCTTGCCCTCCCTGATGCACATTACTGTAATCCACACTTGACATGCCCCAAGAGGTTAAATGCTGTCTATCCTCTAGGTGCGTTTTGTGAGCAGTACCTGGGTGTTTGGAAAGCTGATGTGCCATATAAGCCGGTTTGTTCAATACTGCTCTGTCCACGTGTCTGTGCTCACCCTTGCAGCTATTGCACTGGATCGACACCAGGTAGGTAATCCTGAACTCAAAGCATCCCTGCATTTCCTAGAACATTTGGTGCTTTCCTTCAAACTTCAGCATCTAGAATCCTGTGATTTTGCAAGAATCTCAGCCTATATACTAGACTGGGAAAGTCTCACAAAGACATTGGTAGAAGTTTTATATATATATATATATATAT